CCTTTTGTTTTTAAATTAATTGTGATATAATTTTTTTAAAGAAGAATAAATCACTTGGTTTCGTATAGCAAGATCTTTTAATAAGAATACAAAGGCATATACTTAGGTTTCTTTGTATGAAGATAAAGATAATTCCACTTAGGTTTTACTTTTTAATTTAGTGGAATTTAAATAATAGTACTATATGGGTTCTTAAAGATTAAAAGTACCACTTGTGTTTTACTCTTTAATTTGGTAGAATTTAACTTGGTGCCGAATGTTGATATCAAATCTTTTATACAAATGATAAATGTCATTAAAATTAAGTAAGTAATGAGGTAGAATAACTTGGCGCCGACTATTGATATCAAATCTTTTATACAAATGATACATGTCATTAAAATTAAGTAAGTAATAAGGTAGAATAACTTGGCGCCGACTATTGATATCAAATCTTTTATACAAATGATACATATCATCAGAATTAAGTAAGTAAAAATAAAATCATGTAGGTTTTTAAAGATGGTTCTACTAAACAGCAAATGTGATTGGTCAGTTTCACAGTCGATTAAGTAGTTGACGTTAGTGAAACTGGCCCAAATGGTTTTTTGACCAGCAGTACCCACTCTTAGCGCTTTTTTCTACCTTTTTTTTTAAAAAGGTAAGTTTATAGGCATATACTTAGGTTTCATTGTATGAAGATAAAGATGATACCTCATGGGTTTTACTTTTTAATTTAGTAGAATTTAAATAATAGTACTATATGGGTTCTTAAAGATTAAAGGTACCACTTGTGTTTTACTTTTTATTTTAGAATTTAACTGGCCCAAATTGTTTAATTTGACGCCGACTGTTGATATCAAATCTTTTACACAAATGATACATGTCATTAGAATTAAATAAGTGTAAAGATAGTATACCTCTTAGATCTTTAGAGATAGAATTTAACTGGCCCAAACGGATTTTTTTATCAAAAGCACGCACTCTTATATATTTTATGGAAAAAATCCATATTATATGACAAGATAATGAAATACAACGAAAAAGATGAGTAGTGAGGATGGGAGGAGGGAGAGGAAGAAGAGGGAGGAAGTGCAATGTATCGTAGAATTTAACTGGCCCAAACGGTTTTTTATCAAAATAAGGATAACATCACGTAGGTTTTTAAAGATGGTTCTACTAAACAGCAAATGTGATTGGTCAGTTTCACAGTCGATTAAGTAATTGGCGTTGGTGAAACTGGCCCAAATGGTTTTTTGACCATCAACACCCACTCTTAGCGCTTTTTTCTACCTTTTTTTTAAAAAGGTAAGTTTTTATAGTGAAACTGATTAAACTAGATATAAAGGAAGAGAGATAAAGAGATAGAGAAAAACATGTTGGTTTAATACATTTTTATTGCAATATTGGACTGTTTATTTGAATGTTTACAAGACACAGAAATTACAATTTAACTTGGTTATATACAACGTCTTTATTTTCCGATACATTCAACCCACCGGGGGACGCGGATTTCAGAGTCGGCTTACCCTCTCCGACCGGCTCTGTTACTCGTTTTTTGTACAGTCCGCACACGTGCGGACCGTGACTTCCGCTCTCCCACACCGGTAACAATGTTTACGCGCGGCAGCCTGACAATCGCGCGCGAAATGACCGACCTGATCGCAATTCAGATGTAACAGGCCGATTTGAGACCGGGAGCTCCGAGGGGGGGTGAGGTGCGCGGGGAAGGTACGAGGGAGGGGAGGGGGAGCCGGGCCGCCGCGCCGCCGCCTTATCGCGCCGCCGAGCCACCGGGGCCGCCGCCACCGGACCGCCCCCCCCTCAGGATATTTCGTTACAAAAGGCCGCCGGCCTTATCGCGCCGCTGAGGATACGTTTTCAAAAGACCGCAGGCGATGACGCCATCATCGGGCGACGACAGGTTCGCACAGCGATCAAATAAATAAATGTTACTTACGTGCATCGGTGGTATCAGTGGTAACCCTCCCCCGATTGACCTATCACCACTCCGCATGCAGGTGAGCGAGGAGTAAGAGGAAATCCTCTACTTCACCCACCTGCATATGGTGCATCAGGACCGGATCCATCGGGGGAGCCTCACCGATGACGACGACGCCGTCGTCGTCGTCCTCATCGTTGACGATGATCTCGTCAACGATGAGGACATCGTCGTCAACGACATTGCCCTCCATCACCTCCTCCACGTTGTTGCCGCCGCCGTCCTCCATGACGACTACGTCGTCGTCGTCGTCGTTATCGTCCTCGACGACGATGATGTCGCCGCCGTCCTCGCCGTCCTCCATAGGAGGTGATGGAGGGGGTGTGGGAAGTAGCCATGGAGGGTTGTCCAGATCCATAGCTACCTCCATAGCTACCTCCATTGCGATGTCGATGGCGATATCCATCGCCACCTCCATCACCTCCTCGTCTGCGAAGAAGTTTCGCAAAAAGCGTTCACGAGCCCCCTCGCGATGCCCCATGTTTTTTATATAATGTCACACACGCACGCACACACACACACACGCACACGCACGCACTCAGTTAGTTTTGAACCAGAGGAAAAATGTACAAATATGAAAACGACCGTATGATGTCAGCAAAAACGTTGGAACGAACGTACGCACTACCAAACTGACAGATGAAAGAACACTGACGACGAGATGCATCGGCGAGAGAAACGTCTCGGCCCTATCTAATGTATATATAAAAACAATTGCAGCGGCCCTATCTATTGTATATAAAAACAACTCCAGTGCCGCGCCGATTGACGTAAGGTTGCCGATTACTTTGCTAATATAATCGCGCGTAGTAAATCTAACGCCGAGATTCGTTTCGAAGGATAATTTTAATTTAATCGTGCAATATATACTTATATTTAATCGTGTAATATATATATAATTGTAGTATAACGCGCGGGAGGGTGCCAGGAAGAAAAAAAGTAGTTTATGCAGAGTATATATTTTTTTTTATTCGTAACTCTTTAGTACAATGTAGTAAGTGTTATACATTAATAATTTTTATCGCGCGGTAAAAACCAAAGCGAGAAGCTCGCAATCGACGAGCTGGCGTTTGTCGAAGACGTCGCTCTCGCTTATAGCGTTCGCGACGTTGGCGAAGCGCGTGTACTTGACGTCGACGGTATCGACGAGTCGGAACAATCGCTCGAAGGTAACGTCGATGCAGCCGTCGAGATCGAACATACGGCGTAGCGTGGATTCGATCATCGTGACGTGTACGGTCGGGGATTCGAGCCGTACGAGCGTAAGATCGGTGTGCGCGTAGATCGTTGCCGTGATCGGTCCGACGGTTACGAAATTGTCTTTGTGCTCGTTGCGCAGCAACTTGTAGATGTTCAGTCGCTGCTCGTAGAGGCCCTTCCACGTCTCGAGGGACATGGGCAGTTCGCGTCCTTGATGATCGCCCAGAACGATCTCCACGTAACTCGGTGGACCGACGTTGACGCCGATCTCGAGAAACTTGTAGCCCGTTGCGGTCAGGTCGTAACGCCGACTCAGAATGCGCACCGCGCGACGCTTCGTCCTGCGTACGACGGTAATTAGTAAAGTCAAAGGAAAATAAAAAGAAACGGAAGACTTACGATTCCTTCTGGCCCATCTCGGAATAGAAGCCGGACATGATCCGCGGACTAGCGTAGCGAGAATGATCGGGTGCTCTCTGAACTCGAAAGGAGAAATCGAAGAGAGTGGGGGAGAACCTGTCGCGACAGGTCAAACGATTCCAAGAATTGTTTTTGTTCTTAAGACTCGCTGTTATCGCAAACGATTCCAAGAATTGTTTTTGTTCGTAAGACTCGCTGTTATCGCAAACGATTCCAAGAATTGTTTTTTGTTCGTAAGACTCGCTGTTATCGCAAACGATTCCAAGAATTGTTTTTGTTCGTAAGACGGTGGGGGAAGGAGTGTTTATTTTATCGAGGAGGCCTCCGCGGTGGTAATGGTGGAGGAGGGGGAGGACTTCGAGGACGCATGTATTTCGACGTAGATTCCCGCGCTTTTACTGGCGGGGGAGGGGGAGGACTTCGGGGACGCACGTATTTCGACGACGGCTCGTCCTTCGACTCGTATCTTTGGTTCGTCGGCAACTCCCAATAGTATCTTTGGTTATGCGACGACGGCTCGTCCTTCGATTCGTATCTTTGGTTCGTCGGCAACTCTCAATAGTATCTTTGGTTATGCGACGACGGCTTGTCCTTCGATTCCCAATATCTTTGATTTTTCTTCGAGGGGGGGCACAGCGGCTCGTCGTCTAACCTACGGTACCCCTTGCGCTCGACCGACTTTCGATGCAGATAGTCCTTCAATCGGTCCATGCCGTGACGCTCGTAAGATTACGAATGAACGACAAGAGCGTTACGCACCGTCTATATACCGTCGACGCGTATATACTATACTATACTACACTATACACTAAGGGAGAGAAATAAAAATACGAGGTAAATACGTTTACGTAAATGTTTTATTTCAAAAATGTCTTCGCGACCACCAGTTATACAGTTTGAATACATTTTGCATGGCGCAATTCGTAGCGTGATGTCCGCATCGCGTAGTATCAGCGGCATCCATAGCGGCTAACGATAGAGTGTCCTCGTAAACCGCATCCAGGGTCTCGATGTGCACGCGTTCGTCGTCCAGAAGCAAGTCTCGCAGCCACGCTCGTTTCTCAAGTCCCTTGACGTACACCGCAGCATCCTCCTCCCCGCATACAGCACTGGTGATCAGGCGTTTCGCCTCGCTGTACGGGGTCGTCCCGTCCGTCCATCGCAATCCATGGTGACAGGCAATCAACCAGGAGGCGCAGGACCTGTCGGATCCTGTCAATGACCCCCATGGTACGGGACTCGTAAAGACGTAGTGCGCGAGCACGGTCCCGCGTGTCAGCACCGCCGCTTCCTTCACGACGAATCGCCCGTTGACGACGAAACCCTGCAGATCCACGAACGTCGGCGTGCGCATGTCGACTGATGCGAACGATGTTTCGTGAACGTTTATATCGCGCGCTTAGGTGATCCTGCGCACAACGCTGGTCAGCGGGTTGTACTCGACCACGCGATCGTGTATGATGAGGCAGTACGCGGTGGTATTAGCGGGCGCGTTCTCTTTGAGTTTAAAGTCCATTCGCTCGTCCGCGGTAGCGCTCTTGACCGATTCGTTCTGTCGAGAGCAATCGACGATCACGAACGGGCCCTTACGTTTGAAGGACGAAACCGTGAGATTCGGTTCGAGATACTCGTATCCGTAGTAGCCCTTGCAGAAACGCGCGTAGATGTTGTACAGAATCGCCCATTTGTTTTTAGCGAAATCCAGATTTAAGTCGTCGTACGGATAACATTCCGAGTTCAGGTAGAGTTTCACGTTGGTCAATTTACAGTCGTCGAATTGACTCGGACATCTTCTTTCGATCCGTTTGCAGAGCAAAGATGACGTATCGCGGCTTCTCGAGCTGAGAAGCCGTCTTGATGGCCCACGAGTGCTTGGTCGTGGCCTGCAACAGCGGGTACTCGTACAGATCCCACGACAGCTTGTTTACGTCGCTCAGCACCACGTGCGGCATTCGCCATTGCATCTTGAACAGTTCGAGTTTCGGCACCACCGCCGAATTTCCCACCAAGCAATTCTCGTCGTTGCGCGCCCGTATCAGAATCAACTCGTGACGAGCGTTGATCACCACGCGTCTGTAATCCTCGCAGAATCCTAGCAGTACGTTGAGCGGTACGCAGAAATTAAAGTATCCGTCAGCGGTGGTCTGCGCGTCCCAGCCGGCGTTTCGCAGAATCACGCTCCTGTCGGACATCACCGTCACGTAGTTCTTGATCGTGCTGGTTACGCCCACGTTTCTGTTGCGATCGATCTCCACGCCGTCGAGTTCGTAGCGAATCTCGTCGAACATGAACGCGACGCAATTCTTTTCCAGCGCGACGTCGGCGTTCTCTACCTCCGCGGTCTTCGTCAAACGTCCCTCGACGTACAGAAAACTCTCGTACGGCAGCGTGTACAGATCCTGCTGCTGTATGGGTATTCATATCTCGTCGCTGTGTCCGAACGTCGTGTTGGCGAACGGGCTGTACGCGTGAGTATCGATCTTGACGATGCGATCGTCAAAGACCGGCTTGTCCCTGACGTTCAGAATGTCGGTCATCGTTCTCTGCGCACCGCGAATCCCAGAGATTTCAAAAACTCCACGTTCGGAGCACTGAGCCTCTTTCTCTTCTACTTTTCGACGCGTCCGAATGCACTGTCGAGTGATGACGTCACAGGCTTTGTAAAGGATACGTTATCTATCCGCTGGTTCAACACGAGCATCTCACGCGCGCCCTATCGCTGTCGCCGTCTCACGTGCAATCTGACGGTGATCTCACCGCGAAAATCGATCGGCCGTCCGTTCTGATCGACGACGCGTATCGTTAGATCCGTAACGCTCCGTGCGACGATCGGAAGGTAAATGATCTGCGTCGGCCTCTCCGACACCTTATATCCCGGTGGAACCTGCGGCGAAAATTCGTGTATCGTGTGCACGCTGTTCCCGTTGCTGTACGCGCCCGCCGTCAAGTTGCACTCCACGCGGACGATGTTCACGGTTATTATGCGTCCGACCGGTGCCATTTTCGCGGTTCCAGTACGCGCTTCGAGAATCCCAGCAGCGACCCGATGTTGTTGGGTTTGTGAAAGTTTATTCGGTAGGCGCACACGATCTCGCATCTCATCGTGTTGTAGTTTGCGCGGAGCGCTATCGGGTACTCAGCGTCGTCGTCGCGAAGTGCGTCCCTCGCGGCTCCACGCACCTCGTCTCCACGCACCGCGCCATCTAGCAGCGGACGTTTCCGCGAGATCGCGCGTTTCAGAAAGTCGTTTATGGCTCGCAGTTCGTACGAACCCTTGGGGATCGTAATCTCCTCGTCGTCGTTTCCAAAGTAAAATTAGTCGTTGGATTCGTTCACGTTCGGTATCGTGTTATAGGTCTCGAACATCGTCAGGCCGAGCTCGTAGTCGCTGTCGCTCAGGTCTATCGCGGGAAAGTAGCAGGCCGCGAGGACGCTGCTCTTCCCGCTCAGCGTGAGTGTCAGCGACATGACGGTTCGACGAGTACTGAGATCGCGCGACGTCTCGTAGGGCTTTTTAAAATTCGACGGTTCGTAGAAACCGCAGGCACATCTGTCCGCAAAAGGTCTGATCGTACGTCTGATACGACGTTCGATTGTACTCTATCGCGGTAGGAACGCCGAAGTATCGCACGAGTTCCTCGGGCGGTCGGAGATTGCCGAAACTGTCAAAGTACACGACGCGGTTGTTCCTCTTGGCGTACGCCACCCAGTGAGTACCTGGTCCCTCGACATCGTCCAGATTCACGATACCGCTCTCGTTGCGGCGCGCACCACTCATCGGTAACGCGTTGCGCATGAAGACCTCTCTAAAGTACGGTACGCACATACGTCTCGCGAGCCGGTCCAGTTGCACGTTGGTGGTCGCGCCCGTGGGCATTCTTATCGTTTCTTCGACGTTTTTTTTTTTCTCCTTTCTGTCCGCGTCCGCGTTTGTACGGGGCGAGATACAGCCCGCGTCCATGTCTGTACGGGGCGAGATACAGTCCGCGGCCCTGTTCCATCGCGCGATCGTGACGTTGCAGCTCCTCGAGCTGACGTCGAGCGGCTTTGCTGTCGTTCACCGCTTTCGCCACGCCGGCCGCTTCGCCGATCAGGGACCCCAGGGCGCCCAACAGTGGCAGAATCGGTATCACGCCGCCTCGTTTCGCGGTCGGAAGAATCCGTTTCCTCGCGGTACGTTTGGTAGGTTGTTCTTCCCTCTTCCACTTCTTCACGCCCATGCCGATCTTGGTCTTGGCATTCATCGCCGCCCAGATAGCCGCAGCCGCGGCTCTCTCGCCCAGAGCCGAGTCTCTCGCGGTGACGCGTTTTCGCGCCTCCGCGGCGAGCACCTCGTCCGCCGCGTGCCTGTCGGCGAGATCGTTGCTCCGAGAGTACACGATGTCGTGCTCGCGGCACGCCGCGTCCAGCGGATTCACTCCCGCGTCGCCTCTGGCCAATCGTTTCCTCAGTCGAGTGCCGGGGCCGCAAAACTGGTAGCCGGGGATATGTAACTCGAAAGGAAGCGCGTTTATCGCCCGATTCAACAGGTTCCTCGCTGACATTCACCGCAATTCTTTATCAACGGCGCTGGACCGTTGACGTGCGTCTCCTGACTCGGCAGGTTGTAGTGCTTCAGGCACCGGCGGTACCGTTGAACCTCCGAATCGGCTCGTATGTGCTCGGGCAGTCTGTCCCACAACTGATCTATGTACTGCTCGCACTCTCGCAGCAGAATAACCTTAGGTACGTATTCCAGCTCGGCGGAGGTCAAGCTGTGCAGACGGTCCGACGCGACGACGAACATCTCGATCACTGAGCGATTTCGCTCCGCGCGTCTCTATAAATAGGCCCGCTCGCGGCGTAGGTTTTTCAGTCGCGAGTATGCGGTTTGTGCGTCAGTCGCGCACTATCGAGGTGCCGAATCTCGACGCCAAAGTGCAGACGGCATGGAAACATGCTGCCGAGTACCGTACGCGCTATCGTCTGCGGCCCGTCGAATTGCGGCAAGACCAACGTGCTGATAAGCCTGCTCGAGAGCCCGAACGGCGTACGTTTCGAAAACGTGTAAGTCTACTCGAAATCGTTGTGACAGCCAAAGTATCGCTACCTCGAAAAATTGCTGTCACCTATCGACGAGATCGGCTACTTTACGTTCTCCAACAACAGCGACGTCGTTCCGCCGAACGAGGCGCTACCGAATTCCATCTTCGTCTTCGACGACGTGGCGTGCGACAAGCAGAACGCGGTGCGCGAGTACTTCGCGATGGG